CGGAAAGGGTCGTGTGTGAAGTTAAAGGCTGAAGGAAACTAGGGGATGGTAAAAGGGGGAGGTTTGGGTAGGAAATAGGGGGGCAGGGTTGTGGTGGGCATGGAGGGGGGTGTGGTAGAGGACATGAGGGAGTTGTGTGGGAGGGCTTGGGGAAGGGGCTGGAAACGTGAGTTGTGGGGCAAAACTCTGAGAAAGGGACAGTGTAGGACAGGGCTGGTCTGAGCCTATGGTTTTAGCTAAGCTTCAAGCAAAGAACAACCAAATGTGCCTCTCGCCTGGGCATTTTGCAGGCTGGCTTTGGATAAGTTATTTATCCAACTTGATTGTTCCCATGTGAAATGGGAATGTTTCTTCACGGGATGGCTGTTACCTCTCAACAGCCGGTGGCTGTAAAACACCAGGAAACCCTGTGTTCAAAATGAAAAAAGGTAGGGTGTTGCAGCTCATCAGGACCTCTTTAAGCACCGTCTCCGTGTTATTTTCAGTACCTTTCTGGGGTTTTCCCCACTATTGATTTCCTCCGTGTTACAATTTTAAGGAAATTACTTCGGTTAATTTTAGCAGAGTGTCGTTCTGCCCCAGGACAAGAGCTAGGCCATTGCTGCATCCTTAACTGTAGCAATGCTTTTAACTGGACCAGTGAAAAAGCTCTTACGAGCGTTAGGGTCTTGGTCCGGCTGATCCAGGAGCCACCTGGATCCTAGCAAAGCAATTTGGGAGAAGTGGGAGGAAAAAAAAAAATCACCTGAAAGTAAACAAGCTGTGTTTTAAGTTGGAAGGGTGTCGCAGCGAATCCTGCTACTGCAATCTAGTGGTTAAAGCAGGAATCGCCTGCGAGGAGGTGAACAAACAAGTTTAAGTGTTCGGGTATTATTACATAAAAATGGTATGTAATTCTGTTAGTCATCAGCTGTATATTTTAAGCAAACCTAAAAATAGCGGTGTTTGGGGGTTTCATTTGTTACTACTCTGCCGTGCCAAGTTCCTCTCCAGAGTGGACGTTCGTGTCCACGTGGGTATAATACTGATTAATTGGCGCGCTGCGTGATATGACTGGCACCTCATTCCATAAGGAGAGGGGTTTGACCGAACTTCGGTTGGCGCGAGTGCGGTCCTGGTGGGCCATTTCGCTCTCCTGAAGGATTTGGCCCCTGTTAGAGCTGGAAGAGGCCATCCCGGGGAGGTTTTCTGGCCCGGGGGAGTGCTGAGCTGGGACAGAAACATTTTTGGGGGGGGGTTGCGACACCCCAGCATGTGGCTGAGCAGAATTCCTTGTGGCTTTCCCCTTGTCCTTCGTCGTATCAGCCACACTCAAAGGTGTTTTTTTGCCGTTTGAGGACCGCTTATTTGACTGATTGTAAAGTTGCCATCGTGAGAGACAAAAAAAAAAAAAAAATCTTCCTTACGATGACATCGTGAATGCTTCCCTCTTGGAAATCAGCCCCGTGTTTTGAGGGCGCCGTTGATGGCAACATCCTTCAGGGCAAGAGGCGCGTCTTGTCCCACGGGTTAGTCGAATTATCGCTTGCGGTGGCTTTCTGCCAAGTGGTTTTTTGGGTTTGGTGGTTTGTTGTTGGTTTTTTTTAAGGTATGGCAGACTCCGCTCGATTTGTTTTGGTGCTGTGGGACCGAAAAAAAAAAAAATAAAAAAGGAAATAGTCGAGCACGAGGGTGCGTCGCGTGGCTGAAATTATTTTTGTTTTGTGAGCGCTACTGACGGTGGGGTTCAT